CCTGCCAACCTAGCAGTTCAAAAGCACCTCCGGGTGCAAGTAGATAAATAGGGACCGCTTTCTAGCGGGAAGGTAAACGGCGTTTCCGTGTGCGGCTCTGGCTCGCCAGAGCAGCGATGTCATGCTGGCCATGTGACCCGGAAGTGTCTCCGGACAGCGCTGGCCCCTGGCCTCTTGAGTGAGATGGGCGCACAACCCCAGAGTCTGTCAAGACTGGCCCGTACGGGCAGGGGTACCTTTACCTTTACTTAATAATAAGATCTAGTAATTACAGCAGGGGTGGGGCCCTTCTATCTGGCCCTTGGGACTAGACCAGGCCCTCTCCTCTTCAGCCCTGCTTTGCACTGTTGCCTGGCTCAAACACACCCTTGAGCTGGGGTAATGCCTCTTGCTTGTCTGGATGGCGGGTTGTGAGTGTGCAGAAACCTCTGTGCATGTGTGTGTACCTTGTTGCACAAAGTCAAGAGGCACTTCTGTTTCCCTGCCCGTTCTTGTTTATGTCTCTCCACACCCACCCACCCCAGAAAACTGCCCACAAGGCAACTCGGACCTTGGGCTGAAAATGGTTCTGTGCCTCTGAATTACAGGACGGACTCAGACATATTCTCAGAATGCTCACCAGTATGTGCCTGCAGCAGCTTTCTCCAACCTGGTGCCTTCCAGATGTTTTGAGCTGCAACTCCCATCATTCCCACCCCCCACAGCCGTAAGTTGCAGCTGTATGTCAAACATCTGGTGAGTGCTACGTTAGGGAAAGCTGCTGTATAGGATTGCAGCCTGAGTCCCATAACTATTTCTTCTCAATCATACCTGATGGCTAGGAATGCTGTGCTGGAACCATCACAAAAATCCAAGCTGGAAATCACAGACATGGGTCAGAATTCTAGACAGACCTTTAAACTGTCTCTTAGCTTTCTGCCCTTTCTCGTCTTGTCTCTCTTGGTTTCTGGATCCTCCTTTCAGCACACTGGGCCTCATTGCTCATCCCGTTGTCTTGGTCCTGCCCTTCCAGAGGGTCTCATCTATGCAAGAGGTGGGTGGTGGATGGCTAACATCTCAGTGGCTCACCCATCAGTCTTATGCATCCTGCAGTACCAAATGTATTCAGGACACGTTATTGTTTTGATTATCTTACAATTAACTGGGCAGGGCTCTTTATTCTCCCATGGACTATAGGCAGATATGTAGGAGGTTTTATGTTGTTACTGAGCTATGCAAACTAGATTGGATGAAGACCATGGGGAATCGGTTCCTCAGAATGCATTGTGTTCCTGCACAGTTCCCATTAAGTCCCGTGAACTTGTGTGGGAGGCATTTGCAGGGAATTTAGAAAGCCTTGGCCCATCACATAATTAGTCAGCCTTTCTGCCAAGGAACACAAAACAGCGTGAACTTGGGTTCCCCGGCAATGAGGTTCATAATATGCAATTTTGCAAGACGTTCCGCATCCTCACTGGGTTTCTCCTTCTGGTTTCAAAGTCTCAAGGGGCAGCTGACTAGTTGCAGGGCTGCCATTGTTGGTTTGAAACCTGCCCAGGTCTCTGAAGTGCAGTAAAGCAAAATCTTTTCTGCAATTGCTGAAGATGAAGAAAATTTATTGCCAAGTTCTTCAAATGCCTGATCCCAGCACTGAGCAGGTTGCCATTCCAATTTGTATGGTGAAGATTTCTCTCCCTGGTCCTCATAGTATGGCTGCTGTATGTGCAGGAGGCCTAGGTATGCTGTAGACTGATTTGTGCACTCTCTTCTTTTTGAACTGCATTTTGTGTTTGTTTAATCCTTCTGCCATTGCGTAGTTGAAAAACAATATATTATGGCTATATGCAAGTACATATATCATTGCAGAGTCTAATTGTATAGAATAGATGAAATGCAATTGTGTAAGTACTGAACTGAACCAAAATGGGGCCTATTGAATGAGGCAATGGGTGGGCAATGGGGATTTTCTGCGGGGGAATTGTGCAAATCAGATCTTCATATGGGGCACTTGTGTCAACTGCTGCTTTAGATGGTTGGCGTAGTGAAGGGCATCCTTTGCCAAGCATACAGGAGAGCTGTATGGCACAGTGGTGGGTGGTGAGGGAAAGTAGCCTTGGCCCAAGGTGTTTTCCCTTCTGCAATAAAGGGTAAGAAGGACTGAGCTAACATATGTCAAGCAATTGATAATGATCTTAAAGCACTATATAAATGCCAATGTTTTTTGTTTTTTTTAATGAGGCTGGTGAAAATGTAGTTTGGTTTCTGTTTTAGAGCTCCTTGCTCTGGAATGTGAGAAAGAGAACCCAGACATATTTCTCTTCCCACCACACACACACACACACACACACACACACACCCCTTTCATAGCTTTAAAGTGACTTTCCTAGTTAGCACATCCACTAGGCTTGGAAGCAATGCCTGTGCTCACCTGCAGCACCTGTGCATGTCTTTCTAGTGGAATTAGTGAGCCTGAAAGTCAAAGGAAGCCTGCCACTTGCTGCCTTGAATCCAAACGCAGCAAGACAGGCTGGCTTTATTTGTATCCTGGCAAATATGACAAGCTAGTATTTAATGCAGATATACACACAGCCCCTCCAAAAGAGAGAATTTTAAAGGGCCTGTTCTTGCTTTTTACATTCAAATGGCGCCCTTAGTTCCTGGCTGAACCTGCATCTCAATTGGTTATAGCCAGAGTAACTGCCGATGAGATTGCAGCCAGCTGAAGCCATGACCCAATCCACTATTTCTCATATGCTCTCTTCTTCCTTTCCCCTTCAGCTTTTTTGGGGTGGTGGGGACAGTTGCAAAGCTCATAGCTTTCTTTTGGGGAGGGGGATACCTGAACCTCTTGGGGGAAAAATGCATATTACACACCCAACGTTCAGGGTGGTTGTGTTTGAGATTGGGGTTTTTTCCCTAGGGTGCTTTTTCGTTACTGCAGTGGGAATATAAAAGAGGGAGTCCTGTTAACGGAACGCTGCATATTGGCTTCAATAGGCTTTCTGTACAGCATGTTACATTGCCTCCCATTTCTTGCCTACAGTGGCCATGCACTTACAGTGTAATGTATCAAAGCTGATGGTCTCTCAATAAACAATCATTTTGATGCTTATCTTTGAAGTACTGTCTTTGATTATTGAGGGGGAAACTAGCTCCAGTGTCCTGAAAAGCAAGTGACCTCCATTGGAATTCCCCCCCTCCAAAGAATAAACTACTTTCTCCCTCTTTTTTTAATTAAAAAACAACAACAGCAGCAGCACAACAAGGACAACCCTAGTCGATCTAAGTTAGGTTTGCAAAGCAAGAATTAATGCTCCAGGATCTCTTCAAACTGGAGGCATCGTCCACCTGTGCTCAGTGGTCTTGAGGACACAGCCTTGCTTAAGGATGTGAAGGGCCTGGCTAGATAAGAACAGGGTCCCCAAAACTGGCAGAGCATAGCCTGTGTCCCCAGGTGGGCTGTGATCTGCGCTTTGCCCTATAGACCACACAGGATTTGGTCCCCATCCCCCTGCCCTTCTAAAAGGGAGTGAGGCCCAAAATCCTGTTCCGTTATTTTAAAATGGATGATAGCAAATGCGAACGCTTTGGGGATTTGGTTCTCAACGGTTTAGTTTTCATGTGCCTTTTTCCTGTCCTCTTGCTAACATGAGTCCTATGCCATGATAACCTGCTACTATTTCTTGGAAGGTAAGCTATCTTGTGTTCTGATGACTGTTTGTGTGATCCATCTGGCCTGGGAAAATAAATATGGATTCCTCCAGTGAGGTAATAAGAGAAAGTCCTTCCATTTCCCCTTCATTCTTCTACTTAACCAGGCATTAAGCTTCTACTAGTTAATATGGCTTTGGACTGGATTGAGCCAACATTGCAGTGGTTCATGCCCCATTCCAGCCTTCCCCAGCCAGATGTTTTGCACCACAACCCCCATTAGCCATCATGCAGCCATGTTGGCTGTGGAGCTGATAGGAAATGAACATCTGGAGGGTAGCAGGTTCAGGAAGGCTGCCATAATCTTTGCATCTACCAAGCTAGGATGTAAATAGAATGGCCACCACCTGTGATTAGCAGCCATTGCTCTTTGAGCAAGTGGGCAAGCCGAAATCCCCAGCCTGTTTTATCCTCCTTTGCCCAGCAAAAGATTAGCAGAGAATTTGAGTAGCTGGAGAACTGACCTCTCAGGAGTGTCTTCATGTCCTGGAATCCACTAGGATTGGTGGCCATTCTTTAGGGTTACTCGCAAAATTAAAAATCCAAAACACTGTCACCTCCCTGCTAAATACTAAAACTCAGAGGAAAAAACACCTCAGATTGGATTCATTCCAAGGCAGCAAATACAAATGTTTTCTTTTGTTCATATGGTTTGGATTCCCACCTCCCCACTACCACACTCAGCAACAACAATTTGTTGCTGCATAATGTGGGAGAGAACCAGTGGGGATTGTTGGCCATTGGGGGGGGGGCAACAGGCAGGGAGACAGGGTGCTGAAAACTCTCTCACCAGCTAATTGTGCACCCTGTTCAACCCCACACTTAGTTTCTCAACACTTAGCAGAATCTAACCACACTATTCTAGTTCCTTCACTCACCACTGCCGCCTTGTCTTCCTTGTTTCAAATTTAAAAACACAAAACCAAAAGCGATGGTTGTGTGCTAGTGACCCTCAGCTGTGCAGATTTCTGTGTCTGCCATCCCACTCGCCACCCACTCCAGTTCATATCCCGAGGTTTGAATGTCTGTGTATTTATAACATCCTCCATCTTTTTCCAACACACATTTTTGTGGAGTCCTGAAATGTGAGAGGACATAGAGTCGTGTTCCGGTCTATGTGCTGTAATTTACTTGGCTTCATCTTTGCATAAATTTATTTATTATTTTAAACGTATTTCTCCCTCCCTCCATTCCCCACCCCCACATTTGTGCTGCTGATTTTGGATCAACATCATAACACACCTGTGCCTTAGTTCTGCCAAGAGAATCCTAAGATCGGCAGGTTAACTCTCTTGTTTTATGCGTTGTAGGTCTGCAAGGGGAGCCAACCATCTATTTTGTGGTCAGCACTGAGCACGGCCCTGGAGTGTCTGCCGTTGGCTGCTTCCCGGTGAAGAAACGGCAGCCTGAGATGCTGGATGGAAGATCACGGAGCGCGGAACACGGAGAAGAATCGGAGTACTTATCGAGGGATGGTCCTTCCAGCAACAGCTCTTTCCACAGCAGTGAAGGGGAAGGGACGGACCACGAGGGGGACATCTTGGACTGCAGCGGATCCAGGCCTCTGCTGATGGATTCCGAAGAGGAAGAGGAAGCTTATAAACTGAACCCTCAGCATCTGGAAAGGGGTAGCATTCCCCAAGAAGACCTTAATCTGCAAGTTCCCCAGAGCATGGGGGTGCAGCTTGATGCTTTCCAACAACTCCCCGGAGGAACTTCGGACGAGAGAGATGTCTTTGCCACAGCTCCATTCCGAAGCTCCATGACCCTTCACGACGACCTGGACATCTTCGCCAAAGCGCCCTTCGTCTCCAAGGGCCACGGTCTGGCGAAGCAGCAGGACGAGGGCGACGTCTTTCTCCGGGCTCCCTTCACGAAAAAGAAGAGCCAGGAAGAGTTTATGCCGCACAGCGGGGCAAAGGAATCTCCTGTCCCGGTGGGGATCTTGGGCTCTGCTGGAGCTCCACAGTACACCTTTAACGCTGCCTTCCAGAACCTAGAGGCAGGGCTGCATGGCTCTCCTCTCTCGCAAGGTCAGTATTCTGTGGCCTCGCTGCCCCAGCCATCCGGTGCTCTCCCTCATTCTTCCAGAGCAAGCGAAGGCCCCGATCCTCCCAAAGATGCATCTCAAGAGCTGGGCAGCATCCCCAACGACACGCTCCAAGCGCACACACTCCCCCAAGACGTCCTCTTGGGCTTGAAGGCCAACCAGCCTTTCCGTCCACAGTCATTGGCAAAGTATTCCCGTCACTACAGCCCAGAAGGGGACCAGGGCGTCGGCACCCAGCCCATCGCAGCTTACAAAGTGGTGTCTCAGACCAACAAGCAAGCCATAGCGGGGTCCGTTTCTATCGCCTCTCTTTCTTCCAGGACTAAAGAGCTGCCCAGCTCTGACCCATTCTCGTCAGCCCCCTTTCCTTCTAAACTGGGAAAGCAGAAACCCTAAATGGTTTCCATTGTGACAGAAGGAGGAGGCAAGGCTTTGAATGCGTTATCAAGAGCCTACAAGCCCTTTGGGCAAAATTCACTCCGTACGTACCTAGAATGTCGAAACTACAGTTGCTGTGATACTCACCTGAATCATATGAAGCTGGTTTCAGGCTGTGAACGACTTCCAGGCTGTAAGGTTTATCACTTGCTTTTTAGATGCTCTTTCCCTCCCCACACTCCAAGTTTCCTCCCAGCCGGTCTTTTGTTTTTGTTTGGTTTTGGGTAATTATTTAAGCCAGGGAACACATGGGACAGAACTGATTACCTCTTGATAGTAGCACCCACTAAGGATTATGGAACATATCAACAGCACACCGAGAATGTTTCAGAAGTGCTAGCCAGGTGGGACATTATTTAATTTTTCTAAGCAAGAGAGAAGGATAAGCACACTTTTATTTTAGTTGCTACTAATGAATCTTCCCTTAAAACCCGTAACTGTCAGTTTGTAACAGAAGTATTATTCTGCAATGTGTGTTTAAACCCTCCCCACAAAAGGCAATTAATGTCTGGGTGTCTTAACCCTATTGGTTCTAAGTGACAGTGGCTCCGTTCTGACCATTGCGGACCAAGTTATACCCTCTGTGGAAATGGTAAGTGAAATGCAGAAAGCGTGGGGAACGGAGTTGGCTTTTGCATGTTCCCAAAGGGAGGGCTTGACTTTCCCACCTGCCATGCCTAGCTTGCAAAGCCAGTTTTCTGTCAGTGAAACAGATCTAAACCCAGATGCCACCCCTGAGGAGCATCCCCCGAGCTCCTCTTCTGCGCATAGAGAGGAAAGCAGCTCCCTAGTCCGGCCCTCAGCACTTCCACATACAGCATGCGCTCCCTTTTCAGAGGTTGCACCAATTGTGCTCCCACGTTGCGGATGGGTTCCATGGGTTTGCTGACAATGAGGGCGGGGCAGCCACCTCCCATGCACTTTCTATAAACTGGGGGCAGGAATGACAAGGAGTGAGCAGGACTCCAGCGCATTGATGGGTTGGGTTCTAAACACACATGAGCTAATCAACAAGAACTTCTAGTGCAGTTACTTTTCTGGCGCATCTGGAGCTGACAGCGCTGAAACATCCCTTACTTTGTTTTCCGTCTCTTGGGTGGGTGGAGCGCAATGCTTTGAATCTCCAGCAGGTTTAAAAACAAAGAAGGGATGTTGTGACAAAGACGGCTGTAGAATGGTGTGGAAAGTGTTCGTGTTAATTATGCTGACCTCAGTGACGCTGTGACAGTTCTTGATGGCTTAAAATCTGATTCTACATCAAGGTCGAACGACTGAATGGTAACTTTTGCGAGTCTTCACTACCTGCTGTTTTATGAAGGACAATCTTGTGGTTTTTAACAGACAATCCAAGAAGCTGATGCATCACTTGTGAGAGAAATCCTTGTGAACTATTGAAATGTAATGGCAAGTTGACTTAAGGGTAGTCAATTTTGTTGAACTGTGCCTTTTATGGAAAGGTGTCCTCACACCCTGTGGCCAGACCCAGACGTTCAGAAATATCCTGCCAGCTCTTTTACCTCACATTCTTACAAAGGAATCTTTAAGTGCCCCCTGCCTGAAAGGGCCTTATCTGCCAGTTGTCAGAGGCAGCCCTGCCCTAAAGTCAAGTGATGACAATTTGGAGGTGGTTCTAAGGGTCCAGCATGAAAGATGGATCTGGCCCAGGGGACACAATTCACCGGGCAGTTCTTCATGGCAACCTTTCCATTGAAATGCATGGGGACCTTCTTGTACAGCTTCCATCGCTTTGAATGGGGCTGGCACAGGAGAGCTTTCCGGCAGATGGTGCTTTGTGTCCATTGGAGAAGAGGGTGGCCTTTGAATTTCCTGTCTCAGGCACCTAAATATATTGGACAAATCCCAGCTATGAATCATGAGCATGGCTAGCTGGTTGGTCTCCCCCACTCCAAAGATTTTATCCTCTGCTTATGTGTTAACTGTTTGGTTAGGAGGGGTGGGGGACCTTAGCTGCTCTTGATGGGACTGTATTTTATGGTTAAGGACCTGCTTGAACGTCCTCAGACTCCGAAAGGGTCCTTAATGACTCAAGATCTTTCCTATTCTTTTGGTACTTTCAAATGAATTCTATAGCACTTTGTTACTCCAAATGGGGACATTTGGTAGGGTGGTGGCTTGAGGCTGGCTTTGCTGAAGCATTTTTAAAAGTTCGGGAGACAGATGTGAAGGCCTTAACTGTTTTTTGACATGCAACTTGTGAATCTGTTTCCTTGCTCCTTACTCCCAGCTGGGAGTCCTTGCACCTTTGAGGACGTTCCAGTCTGATAATGACCACGAAAAGGTTCTTTTGGTCAAGAGTCTCAACTGCCTGGCGGAGGAAGCGATGTAGACTGTTAAAGCAGAAGATCTGCCCCAAGGGAATCACATGCTTGCTCAGCGCTTCACAAGAGCAGCGTGCTCCTGTTTGGGCTATGTGGCCCTGCATCTTGAATGCATTCACTTGGACTATCCCAGCATCTTGAGGCTAGTTTGGATGCACCTCTGTCAATATGCAAAAAGACCTTCCTGCAAGTTTTCATGGTGGCCCATCCGTCTTGCTGTACAGCCAGGACTCAGTTTACCAAAAAGCTTGGACTCTGGATACTCTTCTTGTGAACTCAAGCACTGCGTTTGCTGCGAGTCCTTGCTGATACGTCAATCTTCATGCTGCACCTACCTCTTTAAGCAGATGCTGGCGTGCCCGTGTTTCTTTTTGTCTGATTGGTTTTTGACATCTTTTGCTGTAGTACTTGTGCAATTGATAATGGCTTGCAGGGAGAAGCAACGAGGAATTTGATGCTGCTTAAATACCTTGCAGTGAGGTGGGGGAAATGATTCTTGGAAAATGTGCTCACACAGACTTTGGCGCCTCCATTGTTCAAAACACAGGCGACCAAGCAAACATCATTTTGAGCTTGCCTCTTAAAACAAACAAACAAACAAACCTAGATGATTGCTTATCTGCTGTGTCTTCGCAGGTTTTTTTTCAAATATATAAATCAAATCAAGAAGACACCTATAGGAAGCCATGCTCTGTTTCTCTGTGAAGTGTTCGCTAACCCATACATTGGAAGTTTAACTTATTTGTGTGTGTGTGTGTTGGAGAAGAGAACTTAGGTGCTAGAATGAGAAAATTAAGAAATGCAGAAGATTTCATCCTTGCAGTGTTATAGATTCCAGTGTGAAATTCCAAGATAGAGTGTAGCCTGTACTCTGTTGATGGCATCCGACATCTCAGCTTTGAACTCTCCTTGATTCAGGGGGTTGCATATTCAGTAGGAATAAACAGAAGCTGGAGCTAATTAGATTGCTGTTGAAGTCAGTGGCATTTCCCGCCTCCATTTTGACCAATGACAAATAGTATTTCTGCTCCTCCTGAAGGAAGTCAAGGCACTTGTTACAGTCAGTCCCGAAACTGCCACCAGTATTAGTTGGGTGCTTTTAAACTGTTACGAAAACCCTACGTCACTCCACAAATAGTTTTTTAAGGAATGCATTTTGCTTAGTTGTTTCCCTATCCTCGTTGAACAAGACGGTACTTCAGCAGAGTTGTAGGTCATGGCCAAAGACCAAAGCACAGTTAGGCTCCAGTCCTCATATGAAGCTCCATGGATGGAGTAGTTCCTCTCTTCTTCTCACCTATGTGAGAATGCACCTAATTCTCTGGAAAGTAAGGGGCACTTAGCCATTTTAAAACTAGCTTCCCCCTCATATGTGCTCACATTCCTAGTTGAGTCAACTTAAAATGTTGGGGTCATGTTCCTGCTGACCACGTGGGTTTCCTTCCCACCCTCATTTCTCCACCCCCAGTGCTTTGGATTACAACCCCCCCCTCCCATGAACCCCGGCATCATATGGTCATGCTAGCTGGGACTGATGGGAGTTGTGGTGCAAAACATCTGGAGGGCACCAGGTTGGAGAAAGCAGAGCTACGAGACTGTGACTTGCACGAAGGGGCTGGGTGGTGATTCCTGGCCCCACCTGTTCTCGTGAGGTAGGGCACATCTTCCTGGCTCACCAAGTGTTGCGCAACACACAAAGACCTTCAGCTGAAAGTTTGCCCTACAGCCCTGGCATAGCAAAAGCCCAGATGATTTTCCCTCTCTGTTTTATAAGGTTGCTTAGTAGATTTAGACAATCTTAATAAACTGTTCAGTAGTAGTCTGAGTGAAGCTTTATGACACTGTCATGAAGCCGCTGTTCTTCTACAACTCCGCAGAACTACACAGCAGCAATTGTGTCTGCTTAGATGTGATGCCATGTCACTTGATTCCAGCAGGGCTTACATAGGAGTTGCACCTTCCAGTCAAATCAGTGCAGCGAGGAATGTGTTTCATGTGTCTTGGTCAGCGGATGTGGAGCCATTGAACTCCACTTTTCCCTCATGCAAATTATCCGAGCACCTTTCAGGTGGTTCAGATAGTCACCTCATTAAAACCTCCCTAGTGTTGCCCTTCCAGTTCTGCACAATGTTACTCCCTGTGTAGGTCTTGCTTCTCTGGTTAAGCTTTGAGTTGGGATCTGCTTTCTGGCACTGTGGCAGCTTTGTCTGTGGGGTGGGTTTCATGTTCACTGGCTGAGGCAGAAAAGGGAGAGATTAGCTCCCAAGAACACTGGTTTTCCTCCTGAGGTTCCCTTCTCCCTTTCCCACCTGTGCTCCACCACCATCCCTGCCCACCCCCACCCCCCATCACAGTTGGGCTTGTGGGTCGCTGCCTCATGTTTGGGATCAGCGTTAAAGCCACAGGGCTATGAGATTAACCACTCTGAAGGAACACACAGATTTCCACGGATTCAGCTCCCACCAAAGAACTCTCATGCTGGAAAGGTTTCCCCGCCTTCCTCCTTTCTTACGTTTGGTGGTTTTTAGATGTGTCTTGGGTGTAGTGACATTTCCTTCCATAAGTGTTTTTGACACAAGAGTACTTTGTATGTCTCTGCTGTTGGAGCCATCCCTGCATCTGGACTTGGCCTGTCATGACGCTACAACGACCGCAGCCGATTAGAACGGCGGCCGTTTTGTTCTTTCCTGTCTCTGTGTGTACACTGGGAACATTTTTACCTTTGTAACACTAGTCAGCTGTGATATCCGAGAGCCAGTCTCCCAGTAGCTATTTCTTTCTTTCGTTTTTTAAAAAAGGGATTATTTCTTGTAAAGGAAGGCCCAATGGTAATTGGATCGAAACACCTGGCCCCAGAGGTGAAATTGCAGATGAGAAGAGGGAAATCCGTATGCAGATAATAAAAGAGAATTGTGACTCATTCTAAAAGGCAGCTCTAATTGTCTTTAGTGTCCTGGCAGCTTGAGGAGGTCCTTTGAGAGGGTCGCACCCTTCTGCTGCTGCTAATCTGGAATTGTCTCTGTGTGCAGTTATGAGTCATGAGACCAAGGCTTTGACTCCATGCTCCTCTTGATACAGTCAGAACTCAACAGTGTTGGATATACCTCTCTGATATGATAAACTGTTTGGAGGCTGGAGTATATATATATATTTTCCCACACTGGTTGCATTAAGTCTTTTATGAAGAAATGTTAGCGCTGGGAACTTGTATGCTTTATTAAAAACTATCTGATTCAAACACCCTCATCTCGCTGTGTGCTGCTTCTTGCTCGTAAGAGTCTTTCCGAAAGCTTAAATGCAAAGGATGTGTCCGTATAAACTTGTTGATTTTCTGCAAATGCCAAGGGGGACAAAACCAAGAGCTAACTTGGAAGCTATCCACCATTTCCTCACAAATGTTTTCAGCCGGGCTGAAATTTCATCTCTCCCCAACGAAGTTTCAGTGCACCTTAATAAATATTTGCCAGCAAGTTTACATTCCCCTCACTTTCACTCACTGTCAGTTGCCTTCACTTGCTCTTAGTGATGGTACCATGTGGTCAAAGCTCATTGGGTGTAAGAACACCAGAAGAGCCTGCTGGATCAGGCCAGTGGTCCATCTATTCCAGCATCCCTTAAGCACAAGCACAAAGAGCCCTCTCCCCTCCTGCGGTTTCCAGCAACTGGTATTGAGAAGCATAGCTATCCAGACATTTTGGCACCTAAAGTAGACTCCAAAACGGTGCCTTCCTCCCCACAAGGGAAAATCTACACCAGGAACAGAGCTTTGGTGGGGTAGGAGAAAGATTGTGATCTGCTGCCTGGTGGATCCTGCCACCTGAGGCAGTCACCTCACGTTTCGTCATGGGTGAGCTGGCCTTGGCTGCCTCCAACTGGGGAGGCAGAGCATAGCCATCATGTCACCAAAAGCCTCTCCTCCCGTGAATTTGTCTAATCCTTTTAAAGCAGGGGTCAGCAAACTTTTTCAGCAGGGGGCCAGTCCACTGTCCCTCAGACCTTGTGGGGGGCTGGACTATATTTTGGGGAGAAAATATGAACAAATGCCTATGCCCCACAAATATGGGGTATACAGAGATGCATTTTAAATAAAAGGACACATTCTACTCATGTAAAAACACGCTGATTCCTGGACCGTCCGTGGGCAGGATTTAGAAAGGTGATTGGGCCGGATCTGGCCCCCCAGCCCTTAGTTTGCCTACCCATGCCCTAAGCCAGGGGTCAGCAAACTTTTTCAGCAGGGGCCTGTCCACTGTCCCTCAGACCTTGTGGGGGGCTGAACTATATTTTTTTTTTGGGGGGGGGGAGAATGAACAAATTCCTTTGCCCCACAAATAACCCAGAGATGCATTTTAAATAAAAGGGCACATTCTACTCATGTAAAAACACGCTGATTCCCGGACTGTCCATGGGCCGGATTGAGAAGGCGATTGGGCCGGATCTGGCCCCCAGGACTTAGGTGGCCTACCCATGTTTTAAAGCCACCCAGGTTTGAGGCCATCACTGCCTCCTATGGGAGCGAGTGCCATAGTTTTAACTATGAGTTGTGTGAAGAAGAACTTCTTTTTATCGATCCTGAATCTTCCAACGTTCAACTTCATTGGATGTGCACAGGTTGTAGTGTATGCAACTTCATCGAACCATCTTGTGCCTCACACGATTTAGGAGAGTCTCACAGGTGGCTTGCCCAGGAAGGAAGCTACAGCAGCAGTGAAGCCTCCTCAGCCAGCAACTGGGGATTATACCCTCCAACATTTCTCCGATGAAAATACCACCCAGTAGTTAGGGGTGTGTATTCTACTGCACAGGCCTTCAGCTCCATTAAGAATGTCACAGCTCAGCTGCATTTTCACCCAATGCTGTTGCAGAGGAAATTGCATGTGCTTTGATCTATAGCAGGGTGATTGGCAGCCTTTGATGCCATGCCTACCCTCTGCAGCCCTTGAGCTGCCTTCCCAAAGTTGGCTAAGCAAAGTGCTGGGCTTTGGGAAGGAGGCATGAGGCTCTGAGAGGGTCATAGAGTCCTCCCACCTCCTTCCTAAAGTCTAGTTAGCACTTTCCCATCTTTGAGAAAGAGATGGGAGGACTCTAGGACCCTGCCAGATCCTCACATCTCCTTTCCAAAGCCCAGAGCCTCACTTAGCCAGCTTTGGGAAGGGAGCATGAGGGCGGATTGGGGTGTGTGTCAAATAACGGCCGCTCCACCCTCCTCCCCACACATAACAAGGCAGTGTGCGGCCCATGGGTTCCATTTCAACGTACTCTTGCCGCCCACTTGGTCTGAAAAGTTGGGCCAGCCTGATATCTATAGCAGGCATAGGCAAGCTCGGACCTCCAGATGTTTTGGGACTACAACTCCCATCATCCCTAGCTAACAGGACCAGTGGTCAGGGATGATGGGAATTGTAGTCTCAAAACATCTAGAGGGCCGAGTTTGCCTATGCCTGATCTGTAGCCTGCATGTGAAAAGGTATAAAACTTTGAGTGTGAAAGTCCTCAGACTGTCTTAATGTCTGTGCAGGAAAAACCCAGCTTTGAGCAAGGCTGATAGGAGGAGGCACCTTGTTCTTCTCACTGAACCAGGTATCCAGCTCTGATAATGCAGACCTGCTTCCTTCTGAGAACGTGACAGTTTCTACGCACGTGTAAAGCTAAGGCAAGGAAAAGCCTTTACAGTGGTACCTCGGGTTAAGAACTTAATTCGTTCTGGAGGTCCGTTCTTAACCTGAAACTGTCCTTGTTTTTACTATAATTTTTATTGAGTTTTCCATATTTCATTTCATTTTCATTACACAAATCCATAACTTAGAATATTGCTCAAAAGGAGCATCGACCTCCTTCCCTCCCTCTTTCTGACTTCCACATATCTTTAACAAATTCATTGCACTTAACCTGAAACTGTTCTTAACCTGAGGTACCACTTTAGCTCATGGGGCCTCCCCGCTGCTGCGCTGCGGCAGCTCGATTTCTGTTCTCATCCTGAAGCAAAGTTCTTAACCTGAGGTATTTCTGGGTTAGCGGAGTCTGAAGTGTCTGTAACCTGAAGCGTCTGTAACCCGAGGCACTGCTGTATATAAGTATGTGAAATGTATAGGCTCCACTTTTGTGGGTGGTTCAGCGGCGGTGGCTGTTCTGGCCAAGTAAATGCATCTCAGACAGGCGCCACCAGAGTTACACACAAACATTGCAAGTTTGACAAACAGTCAGTGAAGGGAAGCTTTGCTTTTGCACATGACTGTGGCATGATGGGAAGCTTTGCTTCTAAGCTTTGCTTCTGCACATGATGCTACACAAACCGTTCTAATACTAAGACATTCCCTCATCATCCCAGAATGTTCAGTTCACATTGAGTTCATGAAAACATTATATTCGGACCTGTTCTTAATGCATAGTTGACCACATCTATTGGAATGTAATTGTTTAAGTCTTGCTATATCAATCACTACCGGGACGCGGGTGGCGCTGTGGGTTAAAGCCTCAGCGCCTAGGGCTTGCCGATCGAAAGGTCGGCGGTTCGAATCCCTGCGGCGGGGTGCGCTCCCGTCGTTCGGTCCCAGCGCCTGCCAACCTAGCAGTTCGAAAGCACCTTCGGGTGCAAGTAGATAAATAGGGACCGCTTACCAGCGGGAAGGTAAACGGCGTTCCGTGTGCTGCGCTGGCTCGCCAGATGCAGCTTGTCACGCTGGCCACGTGACCCAGAAGTGTCTTCGGACAGCGCTGGCCCCCAGCCTCTTAAGTGAGATGGGCGCACAACCCCAGAGTCTGTCAAGACTGGCCCGTACGGGCAGGGGTACCTTTACCTTTATATCAATCACTAGTTATAATTTAATTAGGAGGTTTTCATGCCTGTCTAGTTCTGTGCTCCCTTTCCCAGCCTTTAATCTATTGGTGATTAATGCCTATATGTAACCTTTGCTTTGTACCTGTATTAACCAATCAGCAACAAGCGCACATGTGGCAATGCTGTCATATGCAATAAAAGAGACTCCCCGAGACTTGCTCGAGAGATGCCTCCCAGATGACACTTGCTACTCGTCTGTCGTTTATTCCAACGCAACAAGTCAGGACAACAACAAATAAATGAAGCAAACCCTTCTGACACCTCTATCCTTCTGCTGATGCTGCCTACAGTAATAATAATAATAATAATTTATTATTCGTACCCCGCCCATCTGGCTGGGTTTCCCCAGCCACTCTGGGCGGCTTCCAACAAAGATGAAAGATACACTAAAATGTCACATATTAAAAACTTCCCTGAACAGGGCTGCCTTCAGATGTCTTCTGAATGTCAGGTAGATGTTTATCGCTTTGACATCTGATGGGAGGGCGTTCCACAGGGCGGGCGCCACTACCGAGAAGGCCCTCTGCCTGGTTCCCTGTAACTTGGCCTCTCGCAGTGAGGGAACCGCCAGAAGGCCCTCGGAGCTGGATCTCAGTGTCCGGGCAGAATGATGGGGGAGGAGACGCTCCTTCAGATATACTTGACCAAGGCCGTTTAGGGCTTTAAAGGTCAGCACCAACACTTGGAATTGTGCTCGGAAATGTACTGTCCAGGAAAGCAGAGCTGTGGACCTGAATCCCACAGCAGAAGCTTGTGCTGCTACTTCTTCAAGTCCTCTTGTCACCCTCGAGCCCCTCAGTGTGCATCAAGCCTGCCTACGAGTGATGTGTCCCACAGACTACATCAGAGGCATTATGTTTCCTTGCGGGGCTATGAGAGCAGTCACAGTGGCATTCTAGTTACAAAGAGACTGGGCTGTGGCATAAGGTCTCGCCTCCTGGGCTTAGGCCATAACCAGAGCCATCTTTCCCATACGGCTTAGTGGTTCATTGAGCCAGGGTGCCGACCTCTCAGGGGCGCCCCAGCGAGTGGGGGAGCTGCGCAGCTTTGCCAGCGGCCTCCCCTTTCCCTGCGCACCCGCCAGCTGCTCCCCATCAAACGTATGGCTGGTGGCATGCAGCTTGCCTCCCAAGCCTCCGCGGGAGGAGAGCAATCCCTGCAGAGGCTTAGGATGGAAGCTGTGGCCCGCTAACTATATGGCTGGCAGTGCGCAGCTCCTCCCCTCACTATCCGTGGTAATTTGGGGGGCTCTGAGTGGATATTTGTGTTGGAATCTTTAGCCTTGTCAGAGGAATTGGCCACTCTCCAGGCACCCGGCTATGATTCCTTGTTGACCTCCCCATCTGCTACTCCCGGCAAGATCAGGCGAGATCTTCTATCAGCGATCCTCCTCAACGTGAGAAG